ATATATATTTTATATGAACTTGTTAGGGTTTAATATCAGTTTAAGTAATTGTCGAAATAACGAGTACATGTGTTCTTTTATACATTGTGTGATCGATATGTTCTCTGTTGGCAATTAATGGGTTAATGTAAGACTAAGAGATTGTTCCATTTTAAAAAAATAGGATTTTGAATTGCAAATGTTACTTGTCGTTTCACCCAAAGTTGGGTTAAAATCATATTTCCTAACTAATGATGTTTATGACAAAACTTCAGATTTCGTTGAAATTTGTGTATTATTCCTATTGAATTATTTCTGGATCAAAAAGTTCTACTGTTCGAATATACTTCAGAGAAGTTCAAATTCTCATACAATATGTTGTCTGTTTGTTAAATCCTAATTACCATACTGCCATTCTCTTTGGAAGAGTATAATTCATATGGAATTAATGGATTTCCCTATCTTTTATTTGAAATTATAGGTACTATTTTGCCTGCGATCTACTTGGCTTGAGATGTTACCTAACAATCACCATCCAGTGTCTCACTAGAAAAATATTATTCTTGGATTTAATGTGTGGCATTTAATTTTGTAATAGCCATTTGTTGCTGAGTGGATGATATATACTCAAGTAGTCATCCAATTTCGACATATAGATTGATGGCATTTATGCATTTGCATTTGAAGAATGTGATCCTATGATATTTATTCATAACATACGCAAAAGAGGATGGCAAATGAGATGTTTTATAGCATTCTAAATTGTATTTTGCTTCTGCGGATGATCACATTTATGGATATTCTTTTTGAAGGTTTATATTTTTTCTTCTACAAACAAAGGCTTATTTAGTGTTCTTGTTCTTTGGGATCAATAAGTCCAACATAGATTGCGACTGCCTTAGACAAGAAAATACATTGTCTGACATGCCCTGTATCGTTGTGGTCTGTAATTAAGAATAAGTAGTTGGATATTTGATGACGTACTTTTGTCAAAAACTGCTCAATGGAAGAATAGAACTTTCGGATTCTTTTGGCCTTCACGTGTTCTTGTACGTTAGCTCATCATTATGCATATATTGATACACATGCATTCTGGCTGCTGGTTATAGAGTTTTCTAGACATGATTGCATGAGTTTTGTTTGCTTTAGAAGGATGAGATTGACGGTCACACTTATTATGGCACAGATATTATTATTATTATTATTATTATTATTATTATTATTATTATTATTTGAATTTCAATTATATTAGTCATCCTAACTACGATATATATTGACAAGTACAAAAGTTTATTATGCCAAAAATCAATTGTGAATATAGTAATTATTATTATTATTATTATTTTTCTTCTTTGAATGCAACAAATAGGCCACCAAATTCACACAACTAACGTGCGCTATAATTGTGGAGAAAAGAAAATCATGTAAATTATTCAATATCTAAAAACGTGTTTTTAATGTCAAACATATAAAACTAAAGATTAAAACTCATATTACATGGTTCATCGTTCCCCTAGTACATAGAAAACTAGCCTAGAATGTTATGAAAGAGAAAACAAAAAAAATAAAAATTGAAGAATCGACATCACCCAATAGATTCTTAAATTGATTCTCGTGTTCTTGGCTTCTTCTATGCCCCAAAAGTTGTTCAAATTATGTCATAATGCGTCTTTTTTTTTTTTTTACTTTTGGACGACCCTAAGGTTTTAAAAGACGCCCCAAGATTCGTTTCCATAAGATTTGTATTCAAATTAGATGATGCTACCAAAAATCGTACATGTCGACTTTCGAGCTTGACGACTGAGAATGAGCACGAACAAAGCCTTCTGGTACCTGAAACAAAGGCGTAGAGGTGTGTCCTCGTCGCCCCTCCGATGCTCAAGTCAGAGAGAGAATTTGTGAAAAGATAGCTGCTCAAGAATTATGTAAAAAAGACGTACCTGAATAATGACTTAGGGTGCATTATTTGTAGAGGTAGGTAGTGCTTTCCTTGTAGGACTAGGTTATTCGAACTCCCCATGGTCCTATGACATTTTGAAGTCATAACTTGATTGGTGTTGTTCCATAAAAGTGTTTGAACAAGTATAAAACTCTACTAATTAAGTCATTCCTGGGTGGACTAGGAACAGTAGGATTCAACTTCTTTGTAACTATGAAGTCATAACTTGATCGGTGTTGTTCCATTAAGGTGTTTGAACAGGGATAAAATTCTACTGATTGAGTCCTTCCTGGGTGGACTAGGAACAGTAGGATTCAACTTCTTTGTAACTAGATAAGTTCTATCTAATTGGAGAGTCCATAATGAAACAGGAGTTGTCAGATGCGAGGCTAAGGTACGATATCGAGGATGTCCCAAACTAACGGGTAAACATAGCTCTCGAGGAGACATCCCGACGAGGTCTATGATAATGTGCTCGAGGACCATCACGCTCGAGGTTTATTGACCGAGGAGGGAAGTTCATAATTGATGGGAACATATCCTCGGGATTAATGCTCGAGTTGTGACAAATAACGGGATAATCATTGCCCCCCCCCCCCCATGCATTCATGCCAGAGGCTCACATCCCATAAGTGAGTTTCTTGGATGAGATGCACATTACTCTTAAGAACGAGCAGTTGGAGAAGCTAGGCAGTCACGTAAACATGCATGATCAGAAATAAGATAGACATGATCTTTCGGGTTGAGACAAATACTGGGATAATTATTGTCCCCCGTGCATCCATAACAGAGGCTCACATCCCATGAGTGAGGTTCTTGGATGAGATGCACATTCCTCTTAAGAACGAGCAGTTGGGGAAGCTAGGTAGTCACGTAAATAGGCATGATCAGCCATAAGATAAACACGATAAACTCTCAGGATAGGCATGATCAACCTTTGTCCAGGCATGACCATGCCAAGCAATGGGCATGCTCATGCCAAGGATTAGGCATGATCATGTCAAGGAGTAAGCATGCTCATGTCAAGTGATAGGCAAGTGCATGCCAAGGATTAGGCATGCTCATGCCTGCCAAGGGTTAGACATGGCCTTGAGATAGGCACGACCTGCTTTGAGTTGGATATGATCAGCCTTGAAGATTAGGCATGATCAGCTTTGAGGACGGGCATGGCCAGCCTTGAGGACGGGCATGACCAGCCTTGAGGACGGGCATGATCGGCCTTTAGGGTTAGGCATGATCAGCCTTAAACATATGCATGATCGACCTTTAGGATTAGGCATGATCAGCCTTAAACATAGGCATGATCAGTCTTGAGATGGACACGATCAGCCTTGAGGATTAGGCATGATCAGCCTTAAGGACGGGCATGACCAGCCTTAAGGACGGGCTTGAGGAGGGGCATGACCAGCCTTGAGATGGGCATGATCAGCCTTGAGGATTAGGCATGATTAGCCTTAAACATAGGCATGATCTGCCTTAGATGGGCATGATCAGCCTTGAGGATTAGGTATGGTCAGCTTTGAGGACGGGCATGATCAGCCTTAAGGACGGGCTTGAGGACGGGGCATGATTAGCCTTGAGGATGGGCATGACCACCCTTGAGATAAGCGTGACCTGCCTTGAGATGTGCATGATCAGCCTTGAGGTGGACATGATTAGCCTTGAGGATTAGGCATGGTCAGCCTTGAGGACGGGCATGATCGGTCTTAAGGATTAGGCATGATCAGCCTTGGAATAAGCATGATTAGCCTTGAGGACGGGCATGACTAGCCTTGAGATAGGCATGACCTGCCTTGAGATGGGCATGATCATACTTGAGGATTAGGATGGTCAGCTTTGAAGACGGGCATGATCAACCTTAAGGATGAGCATGACTAGCATTGAGATAGGCCTTGAGATCAGCATGACCGGCCTTGAGGACGGGCATGATCAGCCTTAAGGATACGCTCATGCCTAGAATTAGAAATGTTTATGCTAAGGATTAGGCATGCTCATGTCCAAATGTCGGCTTGCTCATGGCAAGTTAATAGGCCCTCGAGCATATAGATCTAGAGCTAGTCCCCACCATTTTAAAAGTTTTAAAGGAATTGTGGCTTGATCTCGATCATGTTAAAATTTTTAAAGGGTGTTGGTCCCGACCTTATTAAGGTAAGGAAGGAGCTCGACCACGACCTTGTTAAAGACAAGGAAGGAGCCCGACCTCGACCTTGTTAAAGATAAGGAGCTCGACCACGACTTTATTAAAGACAAGGAAGGAGCTAGACCCCAACCTTGGTTTAAAATTTTTACATACGATGTTTTATAGTCTTCGGTGTTATGTGGTCGGTCATTTTATTTGGTGATTTTCTGGGATTAATTTTACTTCAATTTATGAAATATTTGTAAGTTGCTTGTACGGAGCAATGCCTTTGGTGCTTGTTCGAGGTACGGTTTATGGTGCTTGTGTAGAGAAAGGTTAGAGGCGCTTGCTGAGGGCAAGACTTGAGGTCCTTGCACAAGACAAGGCTTGAAGTGCTCGCGCGGGGCAATGCTTTGAGTTGCTTGCACGGGGCAAGACTTTGAGATGTTTGCATGGGGCAAAACTTGAGGTGCTTGTGCGGGACAATGCTTCGAGGTGCTCGCACGGGGCAATACTTTGAGTTGCTTGCGCGGGGCAAGACTTTGAGATGTTTGCAT